CTCGTGCGTGTGACATGTAATACATTTATGTAGATCAATGAATTCATTTTATTTTATACGACTGCTTATTTATTTATACATTTTAGATTTTATATAAATTTTTAAAAACGCTATCAGCTCTGGGGAGAGAACCATAAAATATTTAAGAACGGGTGGCAATAGCAAAGTTTAAAAATAAAAATTATCGTACATTAAATTAAATTTATATGTATAATAAATTTATACATATGTATAATAAAATTGGAACCAAGCTGAATCTGCACGTTAAATATTTTTTGGAAAATCTTATTGAAATAGACTTTATTATCGATACAGGGACGCATCACGGAAAAACCCTTGGGGGGATTTTGATGAAATTCGGTAAGATGATAGCTGATTGTTGGAGTCAATTCAAAGGTACTTTTTACTGCAGGAAAATATCTTATTTTTGAGAAAAGATACAAAAACTGGTTGGAATATATTTTTTGGTCTATCAATAATACATACTAGCATCTAACTTTGTAATAGTTATTGGGTTCAAGCGTTGGTTTTTGCCAGGAACAGTTATTGGGTTTCTCTAGTAACCCATTATCATCCCTGTGTCCGGGAGAATGCCTAAAACTATTGGTCCTACGCATCATCTTTCATTGGTTAATTAAAATTGTCGTCGTACCACACAAAAACTTGTAAAGCTTAACTTAATCGTCGTTTATTTTAATTTACAAAAAATGTTATACATATATTTATGTACATTGTGTGTATATACTTTAGAAATTAATACAAAATATATTGAGGTTAGAATGTTTTATTTTTAATAACCGCATTATTGCTTCCTACGTATTGACTCATTTTGTAATGAGTAGGTTAAGTATATCCGAATAGAATCCCATTACCATCGCGATTCTTATTTACAGATACTTGTAAGCTGGACACATCTGCTCTCGCCAATGTACCCAACCACTTACCCGTTGCAGGCAACGTCTTCCAGATGCTCGCTCACGAAATTTATTATCTTTAATAGCTATGATTTATTCATCTTTGTAAAGAATCCTAGCAAAAAATGTATTAAACGTAAGTAAGTAATTTAAATATTTTATAATAACTGGGAATGTTACGTTAATTAAGTATCGATAATAAGTAATATAAAATGAGAAATTGGCTCATGGAAATTCAAGGGTAAAACTGTGCAATGTGGTTTTTTTATCAAGCCAAAGAGCAGACTGACTTCGTCTTCGTTCATGAATATGAGATCGGAGATAATATTTTTAAATTAGACCGAATTTTCGTAAAAATATACATAGGTACATGTGAATACCGCTGGCGCTGTACTACAAACTAGCGTTTGGTTTTAAACGCAAAAAAACAGATTTTTATTTAAAATTACCTTAAGTTAAAACTTAAATTTTATTTATATCTATAAATAGCTATAATAAGAATATTGTTATTGATTTTTCACTTGAACTGAGAAGATTTTCAATTCAAATTTTATAACACTATAACACTCGAAGGCAGTTAAAGCAGTAGCCATCACTGTTAATTTCAATAAATTTATTATAAGATCTATATATATATATATATATATATATATATATATATATATATATATATATATATATATGTATATATACATATATATTATAGTATACATAGAAGTTCTTATACATTTTTACCACTTACATGAAAAGATTTAATTTAGAGCCATTTACAGTCCTACTTCGAATACTTGTACTCAAATGGTGGTCTTAAATGAATAATGTTTAATATATATGTACGTAATATATATATGGCTATATGGCTGAATATATTGTAAATATTGTAGTTTTATTGAAAACCCATCCCACACTTTTGGCTCACAAAATAATTAGATTGTGTCCCAATAAATCTTTATTAGGAAGAGAGAAAGAAAATAGGATAATATGTTACATAAGATGGAACATTCGGAAAAGAGTTAGTATTGCCGGTTTATTTTATATTAAGTCAAATGTTTCATAATTAACTTAAAAAAATGGTCATGAATTTGATCTATGTGTATAGAAATTGCAAAAACATTCGTAAATTTTATTTATTTTAATGTACATATAAGTCTATATTGTGAAGTCAATTTAACTTTTTCTTAATATTATTATTTCATTTCAGTGAAAAAATTGAAAAGAAGAAGTGGAACAGTAAATTACAAAAATTAAACGCTTTCAATTGTCGTGCCAAAATACAGATAGCATGCTTTATGCGGGCACGTAAATGGAGTTCAATTACAGGTGCGCTAGTGACAAGCTTCACATATGTATGTATGTATATGCGCATGTGTAATTTTTTTCGAATATAAATCTATATTCAAATGTTTGTAGTCTTACACTGACCGCTAGTCATTAGTGTAGATAAGACACTGTGCCATTTTACCTGCTAAGGGTCTCGATTCCAGCGGAAGGTGGTATATAAATAACATTCTACATTGTCTACATTGCCACAATAAAATAAAATGTTGTCTGTTTTATTTTGTAAGCATTTAGTAGGCATTTATTTTATACTTATATATAAATGCATTATCATGAATGTAATTAATGATCAGTTAAAATAAATCATTAATATACCTAACGTGCAATTATTTTATGACCAATACAAAGTTTGGTCTTATATGGGTCAGGCCGTAGTTTTTGCCACATTTTGTATACCCTAACTCTCCGCTACTTTTTTTTTTAACTAAAATACTTAATATACATTTTTCAATCACGACGTTGTATTTCCTATGAAATGGAGAGCCACGGCCACTAAATATACTTGACTAAGTTTATAAACATGGAAAGTTATACGATATTTTTGTTAAAAAAATGACGAAATTTTTATAAAAAACGCGAATCCGCTTCGGTATATGTACACTTTGCGCATCTGTAAAATTAAAAATAAACATTCCTTTTGACAATCGATGTGATTTGACGTTATGAAATAATAGTTAGCTAGCCACCTTTTTAATATAGTTACGTGTTTCCTAAGAAAAAACATTAAATTTCATACATTTTTTAAAAACTACACAAAGACATTTTTTTTGCGCTATTTTTATTGCGCAACCAATATATCTGCCTATTTTGTCATAAAAACATTAGCAGGATTTGTATCTAAGTAGTGGCAACACCAAAGTAACTACCTTCTATGGTCAATATGACGTTAGCGGCAATATTCCTGTCAGTTGGATGTCAACTTCGTTGCGAAGAGGAATGTGTCAAGTTTGTGGCGGAGTGCATTTTTTGTGATTTCAAGGTAAGTTTTTCATTTATATTTAATATTGTTATTGTGCACCATTTAGTAAGCTGTGTGTGATCTTTCAAGCATAAATTAACCTGAAAAAAGAGTTTATTTATAGAGTTATTATCAATTTCCTTTGCGTCACGGTTTGCGTAAAAATGACATTATGCTACTTTGCGTTACCAGTGGCGTAGAATTTGCGCCACTTTATTTTACGCTATGGAATAAAGGTGCATACACATGTAAATTTGCGGTTAGGTATATTTTTTTTGCTTGTGACATGGTGTGCAAAGCACTAATGGTTCCACATAAGCAGCATATGAAATACGGAGCCTTAATAACGCATTATAAGATGCTATCTATACTAACATAATAAAGCGGAAAAAGTTTTTTTTGTTTTGTTTGTTTAAACGCGCTGATCTCTGGAACTACAAGTCCGATTTAAAAAGTTCTTTTTGTATATGATAGCCAGATTCATGAGAATCTCTTTCACTTTATGAGAATATATATTCTTATATATTTAAGGTGAATATATATTCTCATATATTAATATATAAATTTTGGAAATATAGCATATAACGGAAGATATTTTTTAGGTTTCTAATTTATCCAGTAAATATCATACTTGCATTTTGCATTTTTTGTATGTCCGGCATTCTTTCTTACCTGCATTTGCACGGCTTACATCGTCTCTTTCGTAAAATCTCCGTATTGTCTCTATCCAGACCATGAGTTTTTTGGCTTTGTTTCTACGTATCTTTTTAAACTGTTTTTGAGTCCAAACCTTCTTTGTAAGGCAGGTTTTTAATTTATATTTTTTTTACTATCGGATCATCCACAACATCTTTAAATGTATTTTTATCTTGGTTTTGTCAGATTTTAAATTTAGATTTAATAGAGTCCGTGAGAACATTGTATTCTAAAATCTTTTTTTCGATATCTTCTTTTTACAGTGTTGCAACATTAGTTAGGTGCTCATTAACAAAGTTTTCCGATCTCTTATATGAAGTGTTTTCTTGTTCTTGTACGATGGCATGGTTTTTCAATTTCAGTTTCGTTATCCTGAACTTTCTTTGCTAAATCTCGGAAATCACTCTTCAATTTACGCATGTCTCTTTGAACAGATTTGTAATCTCTCATCAATTAATCAACGTATTCACAAAGTTGATTATTTTCACGTCGCATTTTTTTTTTTTCAATATTTCTCTGAATATTTCTAATCACAGTCTTATTCAAATATGTATTGCTTCTACTTTCTGTCTCATATATTATACAAATTTTGATCTAAATCGTTCGGTATAAACAAGAAATGCTCGTTTAAATATATTAGATAGATACATAACTATATTTACCATATTTCGTTTCAGATGCCTCTGAGTCAAGCAGAAAAATCAAGGAGATATAGGGAAAAACTAAAAAGAACGAATCCTGATAAATATCAAGAAATTAAAAAGAAAAATAAATCAAGAGCAATTAAAGCTTACCAAAATAAAAAAAATCTATAACTGATTCACAAAAAGCAGAACACAGGTTGTCACAGAATAAAAACAGTATTCGGCAAACTGTCACAAATAATCCAGTCTACATCTAATGAACAACCTGCCAATATGGAGCATCAGGATATTACAGAGAAGACCGTTCAAATGAAGTAAATCTGGAAACCCAAAGCATGTTGGCTGTACAAGTTCCAGATAGACTTGAACAAAATGACACAGAAAGTAGAAGCAATACATATTTGAATAAGACTGTGATTAGAAATATTCAGAGAAATATTGAAAAAAAAAATGCGACGTGAAAATAACCAACTTCGTGAATACGTTGATAAATTGATAAGAGATTACAAATCCGTTCAAAGAGACATGCGTAAATTGAAGAGTGATTTCCGAGATTTAGCTAAGAAAGTTCATCATAACGAAGCTGAAATTGTAAACCATACCATCGTACAAGAACAAGAAACACTCCATATAAGAGATCGGAAAACTTTGTTAATGAGCCACTAACTAATGTTGCAACACCGGAAAAAGAAGTTATCAAAAAAAAGATTTTTAGAATACAATGTTCTCACGGACTCTATTAAATCTAAATTTAAAATCTGTCAAAACCAAGATAAAAATACATTTAAAGATGTTGTGGATGATCCGATAGTAAAAAAAATATAAATTAAAAAACCTCCCTTACAAAGAGTCTCGGGCTCAAAAACAGTTTAAAAAGACACGAAGAAACAAAAACAAAAACCCATGATCTGATAGAGACAATACGGAGATTTTACGAAAGAGACGATGTAAGCCGTGCAAGTGCAGGTAAGAAGGAATGCCGCACATACAGAAAATGTAAAATGCAAGTTCGATATTTACTAGATAATTAGAAACCTTATATAAAAAATACGTTTCTGAAGTTGGCTCAATAAGTTACAGTACCTTTAAAAAATATCGTCCGTTTTTATGTTATATCTCCAAATTTAAAGAATTTGAAAACGTGTGCTTGCTTGAAACATTGCAATATGCAATTTATTTTAAATGCTTTAAAATCGGCGGGCATACTCGAGTCAAATGATATTAACACAATTTTGGACAAACTCGTCTGCGACCCTGATTTTAAGCAATGCATGTACGGTGAATGCAGTGTTTGTAAAGATAATGCTGTACAAGTAAACAAAGAGGAAATCTTGTAATAAACTGGTTTTCATGGAAAGTCAAAGAACATGAATATGATGAAAAAGGAGAGAGAAAAAAGACTAAAAGAATGGCAAAAACTGAAAACAAAGGAACATTAAAAGATTTAGTTGATTTGTTTAACAAGGAAATGAACAAATTTAAGATACATGTATACAACATGCGCCATCAACAACGACAATATAAGCTATGTATAGAGAACTTAGACTACAACGAATGTGCATTACATATAGACTTTTCAGAAAAAACTGGCTGTGTAAACATCATGAAGAAATACAAGCTATGCATTTCGGTGCATCGAAAAACCAAATTACCCTACATACGGGGCGTGCTTTACATTAAGAATGAAAAACCATTATCGTTTTGTACAATTTCTGCTGAAAAATTGTCATACCCCCGAAGCAATTTGGGCACATCTTGATCCCGTATTAAAGCATATCAGGCTTACATATACAAATATAGACACAGTTCATTTTTTTTCTGACGGTCCTACGAGCCAGTATCGCCAAAAAAAAAATTTTTTTTTAATGACCCGCAACACCTTCGAACATGGATTTGAAAATTTTACTTGGTCATATTTTGAGGCATCCCATGGAAAAAGGTGCCGCAGATGGCGTCGGGGGGACTATAAAAAAGAACTCTAGACTTTAAAGTTTCACATGGGACTGGTATACCTGACGCACAAACTGCGTTTAATGTTTTGCAGGAAACGGCAACGTCAATCAAAACATTTTTCATAAGACCCGAAAGCATCCAAACATTAGACACAAATATTGCAAGCAAACTGACCGCTATTCGAAATACATTAAAAATTCACCAGATTGTAAGTCATGCTAAATTCATACTTAAATACCGCATCCTCTCTTGCTTTTGCCAAAATCTCAAGGGAAAATGTGAATGTTTTGAACCGAAAATACACAGTTTTGAATTTCAAACAGAATTTACAATAGACGGAAATAGAAAAGACGAAAGCTATACAAGATTGGAGCTTGACGAAACCACTGGAGAACTAAAACAAGTGAGAGAGCAAAAAAACGATAGCTTAGAAATAAAAGGAAATGAAATGTGCTCTGAAGAACAACTATTTCACTGGACCCAGGACAGTTTTTTATCAGACAATATGGACATTGATGAAACAATATTGACTTCGATATACTGAACGATTCTGGAATTTTAAATGCAATAGAATGTGAAGGGAATGATACAGCTGAAAATCAAAAGTATGTTGAAAAGGATAATGAAGTGACCATCTATAATCCAGACAGTCTTAAAATGTTTTGTAATCAAGTTATCAACAGTCACTTCGGTATATCAAACCAAAATACAGAGACCCAGTTATCGGAGGTATGCGTATTGAATAAAATTTCAAAGAATGACAGTCAGAATCTGTCGTTTTATAATGATTTGCCGACATGTTTACAACCAGTAATACCATCATCCAAAATATCTGCAAATGAATCGAAAGTTTCAGTGGGCTGTTCTAAACTGATAATACACTCTAAACATCAAGGTAGACTCTGAAGTAAAGAAAAATAATATTAGGAAAATTTTGAAAGGGGCTAAAGTTATTAAGCAGTCAGCACTAAATATGGAAATAGTTCCGAAGAAAGTAAAAAATGTTAAACAAAACAATGCTCTTAGCCAAATAGATACATTAAATGAACACGCAAGTACGTCAAAAGAAGCAGGCAGTAAAAGAAAACGCAAAAATGTAACTACTGAAAGAACAATAACTTGTTATAAAAAAAGGTAAAAAAAGAATATAAATAATAGACAAAAGTCAAAATCAAGCAAGCACGCCGTAAAAAAGAAAAAGATAGCAACTTATATAGAAACAAGCTCTGAAAACTCCGATATTATAAGTCTAGCCGATACTGATAAATCTGAATACGAAACATTGAATGAGTATATAACATGTTTAGAAGATCAAGAAGGAAAGGAAAACTTAGAGCCAGCTATACCATTTGGGATTAGTGATATTGATTACTGTACAGTAGATTTTTTAAAAAAGGATGACTGGATAGTGGCTAAATTTGCCACAAAAAAAAGTTTAAAGCACTTTGTAGGACGTGTTTTGTCGATAAAAGATAATATTCCTACTGTAAAATTTGTTAGGAACGTGAAAAATTTGAAAGATAGTAAAGGGTTAATTTTCACGTATCCACAAGTTGACGATATATATGAAATGCAGTTAGGTGATGTGATTAAAAGTATTACCTCAACCAAACATTTCCCGACGGGGCCAAATAATCTTTGACACCGACATTAGTTACTACAACATACAGTAAAAAAACAATAATTATACAAAAGGTGCCTTTTTTAAGTACGTGTTCAATAAATTAAAGTTTTAATTTTTCTTTAAACTGTTTCGATTGTAATAAGCCAAAGTTTTAATATTTTTCTATCTTGTTAAGGAGTTGTTTTATGAGTAGATTCTATATATTTTTTTTCTTTGATATCTTTAAGAATTAAGTTAGTAATAAGAGTAGTGATAAAATAAGAGTAATATTAAGATGAGTGAGAATTATATTTGAGACGTTAGTAGCACTATTAGTTATAATTGTTTTATCTCACGAATGTGGACTTGTCTTAGTTGTGAAGGTATGTGCACATACATATATATAATGGTTTCGTGTGCGTGCGAGACATTTTGCGCCTTTATAAGCATACATTACAATTACCTAAAACTTCTCCGCATTCGTTAGATGAAAAATAAAACATCTGTATTCTGTGATTTGATATTCTTTGTCTTATTTGTTTGTTTGTACTCAACCATAATAACCATCACATTTATATATATTTCTTAAAATCTAATACAAAAGTCAAACATCTAAGACGATAAAATTGTCCTCCAGTCCAGTACGATAAGAGGAATATTTAATAAAATAATATTTTTTATATTGTACACAGTTTGCCACATCTATTAAACGGAAAATGGTCGCCACCAAAATCTGTCAAGTCGATTCCGAAAAGTTTGTCAACATAAAAATTTATTGTTAAATAATTTTATCTTCCCAGAGAAAAATTTTATATTCTTAGATCGTTTATTTTTGTTTAAGATATGAATATTTGATCGTTTATTTTTGTCTAAGATGTTAATTGACGAAATAAATTTAAATCCAAAGATGGGGGCAACGGGAAGTTTAATTTTTGTTTTTGTTATTTGTGATTAAAATTAAAATATTTGAGACGTTATTGTGTGCCTTCACGAGTCTGTCTGCTGTGATTCATTAAAAACTGTAAGACTTACTTACCATACCAAAATCGAGTTTTTTTTTATTTGTACCTATCTTACCTACGTACCTACCTTACTATGACGCAAATCCTGAGGCGTACTAGTACTGTTCTTAACTTCATAACATTTTTGAAAATAATATTTATCTATCCAGTCAAAATATTTAAAAATCACAAAATCATGTAGGCGTACCTTTACTATTTTGCGTTACCGTTTTGCGTCACTCTACGTCACCTACTTGCAGAAAATTGTACGTCACCTTTGCGCTATTTGTGGCAAAATCTACGGCCTGACCCATATATGACTATGATAGCTTGTGCTGCAGTAAACGATGACGAGATTTATAGTATGCCATATTGGTAATCTAAGGTTTAATTCCTGAAAACACTTGACGCACTTTGAGCCATTCCAACAAACATGGAGCTCAACTAATTGGGGCTAATACCAGCTTAGTCCTCGAGGACTGCAAAGACCGGATCATGAAAATAGACGCATTAGGAACTTCTGAAATAGTTTTTATTATGATGTACCCTTCACCAGTCAGTTATTGTTGTATTGAACAAAAATAAAGAATGAAAAACTATGAAAAACAATATTGAATATTAATATATATTATTCAGATATAAATCCGAATATAAATAAGATTGAAAAAATTTTTTTGCAGTTTGAACGCGGGAGAAGCCGAGAGCTCCGCTACTTATAGATAAAAGTTTATGTGATTAATATCATGGATTAAATATATCTTATATACATATAATAAAATTCTAACTGAGCTGAATCTGTACATTAAATATTTTTTGGAAAATCTTATTGAAATAGTCATTACTATCGATATAGAAGTCGAATCTATCTCGATAATAATAATCTAGTTTTTAGAATTTTTGTCGTCTGTCTGCGTCTTTGTGACAGCTCAGCTTAAACACACAATACAATTATAATTTGTAGCCCTCTGGTGTAGAATATTAGTGGAAGAATCATTAAAACCGATTCAATTTGTCATTTACAAGCAAACAAACTAATCTTTCTTCTTTACAATATTAATCTTTAATTTGGTAAGATATTCATATAATTTACAATTATGTATATGTGCTTAAAATTTTGTTCCAAGGGAAGTGAGTGACAGTTGTTGGCAGAATACAGATAATTTATCCGGTGAATTCCCGATGCTGAAGACATCAAGTGAGCGATAATTTTTTGTTAGACGGTTCGCTTACTTTTTTTAATGTGCAATTTGTATCTATATAGTACGTTTTGGTCATTTAATAACATGCTACAACAAAAATGCTATATGAAATAATTTTGTGGTGAACATAGGTAAAAAACGTGAACATATTTACATACATGATTTTTATTTTTATTTAATATAAATAGAATAATAATTCTTTATGATTGCAACGACCATACACTTATCAGAATATTTTAATTTTGCTATATATCTATCAATTAGTATGTATATATAGGTTTTAATGAAGCTTGAAAAAGATTCTCCATTTTCTTTTGTATGACAACGGGTTAAACTACATTTAAAAATGTTGTGTTAAAGTTGAAGGTTGAGAAGGCTAAGAACGTTCTAAAATACAGTGTAGTGGGGCTTAGTGAAATTTAATGTGATATATTGACTACAATGTTTGCCATTCTCGGGTTATTGTTGTTAAGGAGTTAGTGTAAATCTAGTTCTTAATAAAGCGCAGATGTCATTAGGGAGAAAGCTTTTTGTTTATACATATACAAGTGTTTCTATTTTTGAAAAAATAAAAGACTTTTATATAAAAATATAACATATTTTTTTTGTCCTGTTACATGACAAAAAATAAAAGAAGTTTGTCTGTTTTAAATGCACTCACAATGACAACTACTAGCCAGCCGGATTTAGATACTATTTTTTTTATAATGTAATCCTCAGATTAAGTGAAGTGTGTCTTAAATGTAAAGACCGAGTAGGTCCATAAATACCATTCAAGTTGTACCTACGTTCCGCCTTCTTCGTCTAAATGTAACTTTGGGAGTTTTTGGGTCTTATCCAGGCGTAATTTACGCAAATGCACAAATGAATAGGTTGTGGCTATTATCGAATAAACCTGAGATGGCAAAAATTGAAACGAATAAGTATTAGTACGAATAATTAATACATACAATTTATTTTATATTGTTATCAATATATAAATAGTCACAAACAAAATGGTTTATTACATCGTTTTTCTCTGGTTTTCAAACGATGTTCTTTTTTTTTGTTGCTATCGATAAATAATTTTTTGGACTTTTTATAGATAGTTAAGTTCTATTCATATATGTTTAATTGAAATTTTCAATAATGATTATGGTCGAATTTTACCTATTAAAAAAAACACAGTAGTTTTTTAACATTTCTTGTTTATCTATCTCGTGACAAACTTTTATATTATATAAATTGTGTAATGTAATAAATTGAGGCATGTATTTAAAGGATCAATTTAATATTGCAAAACCAGCAAGCAAAAAAATCGAAACGGTTATCTTTTTTAATGATTGATCCTCTTTCTCCGAGACAAAATAAATTATATTAATTAATCTATTTGCAGCTACGCAAAAAATATTTAAGATCTAGAAGTTATTTTTGATATTTACTTGTTGGGCCCCAAAACTAAGAGAAATGACAAAAAAGAGCTAACGAGAAGGCTAAGACGGAAGTTACGCTACGCCTCTCAACCTACGTTAACCAAATCGACCTAAAACCAACAAATAAACAATCTTTTATACTGGGTATAAAAAGAACCAATCATTAAAAAAAAGGCCATTACCTCCAACCCAGAAGTGAGTCCATTTTTTTAATACCAAATATTAATTGAGTATTCTTGAACATAATAATCGTGTTACTTTAATTGCAGTTCATTTATAATTTATCCAACTAATGAAGATGCAATAATTAATAAACGATATGACGTATAAAAATATTAATAGTACGTATTTACAATAGATCAATTACATTTTAGAGGATCAAATAATATTCTCGTCCCAGCAATTGATTGTTTGATTTAATTTAGAGTTTAATTTCTTCTCTTTAGAGCGTTATGTAAAAGTTTGTTGTTAAAAATGTATTTTTTTAACATTGAAAATATTTTATTTTGTCATTTCGGTATTGGCCCAATTTTAAGCGAAAGTCCGACATGGCCGATTTGGATGTCAAACAACGTGTCTTGACGAGGGCTACAAAATGCAAAAAAAAAAATGAAAAAAAAAACTCAAAAACTTTTTTGAAATTGAAAAAAAAAATATGTGGTAGTTTTTCGCCGCCCAGTTTCGGTCAGAAAAAAGTATATATTTCGAAAACAAAATAAGATATCGAAAAAATAAAACAAAAACCCTAGAGATATGACTTTGGGAATGTAATGGCCTCACTTAGCTTATTCTATTTCGCTAACTAAGTCCTTTCATTTGATGCCCATATCTTATGATAAATCGTTTTTTTGTAACATCCGCCATATTGGATTTAAAATGGCGGCATTTAGGTCATGATTCATGAGAATCAAATGTGTGTGCCAAATTTCAGATCAATCGCACACTGGGCAGTGGGTCAAATTTTACGTACAAGATTTGATTACAGACACCGGAACAGATAAAACTAAATAAAAGCTTTTTATAACACTTCAACTTATAGCTTTCACTGGTGACAAAATGGATAGTTTAACAATTTCGATGACAGTAAAAGTGTGATTCAATATTGAAAAACTATAATAATAGAATAAAAGAAATGATCTTCTTTAAATTAACATGAAATGTAAAGTATTTTTTTTAATTATATATACATATATTAATTAAGATGATTAACGATCATTTCGGCGCTGTAATTTTATACAACGTGATAAGCTTTCGTATACGAGTTTCAAACTCGCGTCGTTAAGCCAACGTGCAAATTAATTTTTGAAATATCGACAACGTATACGCAGCGCCATACTGCATTACAGATTTTGTTACGCTCGTTAGTCTCAATAAAGCTTATAATACATATACGTATTATATAAAATCAGTAAGTAATTATTTTT